AGGGGGCACACTGAGCGACCCCCCAATGTGTGAGGCCCATAACCCACCCTCTCGACTCTGTACAGCTTGGTCCTTCTGGCCTGTCCTCCTAGGTGAATGCTTCACCAAGACCTCTCAGAAAGAGAGTGTTCCTTCCTCCATGTATCCCCAGAATGCAGATTTTTATTACCCTGTTTGGGACCTTCTTGCCTTGAGTAGTAATTCTTCATTTCCTGAGGGCCCACAATATTCCAAGCACCGTATGATGTGCTTTACATGTGTCATTGCTATTCCTCACACCATCCATGCCACATGGATTATTAGCCTGATTTTTTACAATAAGGAAACTCAGGCTCAGAGAAATAACTTGACCAAGGCTTGAGTGTCAGGGTCAGGATTTGAACCATGACAATGTGACTCAAAATCATTGTGGGTCTGCAGGTTCTTCACAGAACTGTAACACAAAGGCTTGCCAGTGTCACCTGCACATGCCATTCCCTCCCAAGAATGCAACTGCTGCAGATTTTTTTGTCAACAAAGCTATGTGCTTTGAGTAGAATCAAGGGGACTCCCACAGCCAAAGGCTGTCCTCTAGGCCCATGCTGACTGCCTGCCCAGCCTGAAGCTCTGGGCCTTGGGGAATGCTGGGGAGAGGCGGAGACACAAGGAGGGAGAAGACAGTGCTTGGTGGACAGAGGCAAGACAGACCACTCTCCTGTCCTTCTGATAATTGCTGATTGTTCAATGCTCCCTGAGCTGTCTCTTTTTGCAACCTTGAAGTGTGGAAGCCAAACTGAGATCGAAACTGTGGAGAGATCGGGTAGAGACCCTGCCCTGTTCATCTTTATGTCACAAGCAACCAGCCCTATGCACAGGGTATGGCATGCAGGAGGTGCTTAATAAATACCCATAAGTGAGGGAGCAAACAAGTGAGTCAGGGTGGTGATGCGTGGCATACGTACAAAAGTGCAATACAGAATAGGGGTGGTTACCAAACACTACTTAAGAGTTAGCCTGCAAGCGAAGACTTGTTTTGGAATAAAGGGACACTTTTGCTTCAATTTGCAAATGAGCCTGTACGACTTCTGCCTCATTCTACTGAGATTTAGAAATAATTCAACCCAAATGAGACTCCTGGAGAAGAATGACAGACACATTTTCTCTTTGTTTAAAAATTTTTTCCTAGTATTTATTTCCAGCTTTATTGAATATAATTGACATATAATATGTAAGTTAATACATATAATAAGTGTTAATGTATAAGTTATTCTGTACTATGTGATGATTTGATACACGTATACACTGCAAAATATTTACCACAACAAGGTTAGTTAAAGCATCCTTCAGCCTGTTCCCGAGTCCAAGCTTGTACTGCTCTCCACATGAAAGCCCAATAAATTGATAGATGAGGTGTTGGGACAAGGAATAGAGACTTTATTTGGAAAGCCAGCTGACCAAGAAGATGGCAGACTAGTGTCCCAAAGAACCATTTTACCTGAGTAAGAACTCAGAGTTCTTTTATACTAAAAGGGGACCAAGTGTGGCTGGCCATTGCAGATTTCTTGGTGCTGGCCAGAACCCAGAAGGGATGTGACAATCCTTTGTTCTTGTAGCAGTCCACGTAGGTCTGGTCATGATATTCCTCCAACAAGACAATTGTTATTCTTTGTTCTGTACCTTTTTATCTCTATATGAATGGAAAAGTGTTACATCTTTAAAGGTCAAGCCTGGGAGGCAGAGCCTTGAGAAAGGGCTACTATGTGTATTTCAGGCTATAGGCATCATTCTTTCTCAAAGGTGCAGAGCCAGAATAACTTAGCATAGCAAACAGGGCACAAATGTGAGAGCTAAAGGAATAGATCCAATATGGTGTCAGGTTTGTTCTTCTCTATTACAATTCTCCCCTGTCAATGTCCATTCCACAATCTTCTGGGAAAAGGGGTGATGGCTATTTCCTGCT